CACTTCGGAGCCCAGACTGGGGGATCGGGGCGCGGGAGGAAGGGACGCGGTCGCGAACGGGAGATCTTTGTGAGTGATTTTGCAAAACGGATTGCGAGGTTGGTTGGATTTGCAACCTGTGGCTCTCCTCGAGGGAGTAGGAATGGGGGAAGGCAGCGGCGGCGGCGGCCCGGGGCGGGAGAGGGTAGGGAGTTGGAGCCTCGGAAGTCGGCTGCGCTCGGAGGCGGCGGGAGCAAGGGGCCACTCCGCTGCCGGATGTAGTGGATGTAGTGACCGTGGCCAATGTCTTGAGAACTGTGTGTTGCGTTGCTTTTATAATACCGTGTTACTGAAACCTTGGCGAAAAATGGAACTAGTGTTGCGGTAATCAGTTTTAAAGCTCTCCAGTGGAAAACAAGCACACGGCCCAGCCGATAATAAGAAAGAAAAAAGATCCTCTCCGCTGTGTCCCTGCCTGCAATGGTTAGGACATGGTGTGGTGGTGGCCATGCGGGGTTGGGGCTGGGGTAGGGGACAGTCTTGACAGCATAACCAGGGAGGAATGATCCCAAGCCGGGGGCTGAAAGCTCAGAGCTGCTGCTTGGTCCCTGACCGCCCCCGAAAGGCGATTTTCCCCCCGAGAAAACTGATTGAATCTTTTATGGATTTTGTTTTTAAATCAGTTTATAGTTTCCAAGAGGAAAATCTTGTAACGTTTACTTTTTTCTTTTTTTTCTTTTTTAAGTGTCAGTAGATGCATTTTTTTACTATCCGGAAAAAAAAAAAAAAAAAAAAAGTGGGGCAGGAGAGAGGGAACCAGGGAAAGGGCTGTTTAGAAATACAGTTTGTGGCTCTGAGCCATGCCCCGGCTTCCTCTACAGAGATTACCAGTTTCCCTTTTTCTTTGTAAGGTGTATGTGGTTTTAATAAATAACTTAAAAAAATAAGAGGGGGGCCGGCAAGATCCATCAGGAGACAGGTATCTATTTTGCTCACTATTTACTACCAAGAGCCCTTGGCACTGGAACAAAACCTCATAAATCTGCAGCCCAAGTTGAAGTTCATCTGGCCCTAGTCCACACGCTATTCCTGGAGGTAGCAAACACGAGCTTAAAGGAGCAAGGTGAAGTCAATTTTAGCCTTAAAAAATTTTTTTTAAGGAGAAAAGATATTTGGCTTTGGGGGAGGGGAGAAGGGAGAGAGAGAAACAGAAGGGCATTCCCTTGCTAGAATGACAGAAGTTGAATCTTCAGGCCAAAATAGGAACCTGTAGATGGGAAATATTTGTCCCCCTCTCTCAGTTTATAAATAGAAGTTTCTAATATCCTATTTGGAAAACCTTCCAATACTGCAAGTCCAAGCATTGGCTGATTTTAAGGATCTGTTGATAGTCTCAATAAGGCCAGATGCTGTTTGTAAAAACTGGGTGATCTGAAGGAAGAGACAGCCAGAAAACGTGGGAATTCTCCAAATGGCCATTTTCCCCTCCTGCTCAGTTTTGAAGGGTTTTGCCCCATCGTTTCTTGAAAAGACTGTTCAGTTTATCCTGGGTTTGGTGGACTGTCGTTTGCTGAAGCCTTGGAGAGTTCCAGTTATTGGTTGAGTAAATGGTAGTCTTGACTAGATGTCAAAACCCTTCCTTCCCTCTATCCCCTGCCACACGCCCCATCAACTTTGTTGTGAAAAACTTAGCGATTCCCAGGAGGTGGAGCAGCAGCGCCACCCCTCGGTGGGCGAAACTCTATTTGCCAAAGTCAAATATTGGAACAATATTGTGAAATGATGTTATGAGACTGTTTTTTAGGGGGGACTTCAAAGAAAGGATTTTCCAGCTGCTCTCTCAAATGGGAGGGAAAGAAGTTACTTTCCAGTTAGGATGGTGTCATGCATGTCATTCATAGGAAACGTGGTTCGAATAATCTGCGGGCGGGGGGCGGGGGCTGGTTGCCTTCAAGAGGAGCGTTCTCCAAGCGGAGGTAGACCTCCTTCCCCTGACTAACTTCTCAAGGCACCTGAATACTTCTGCCTGTCTGACATTGAGATCGGAGGAATGTTTTGATGTGGAAAAAAAAAAAAAACGTCGTGGCTTGGAAGCCTCGTTTTAGCGGTGGTAGTGGTGTTTGGGGGGGGGCCGAGGGAGGGGGTCGGGGGGAGTTTTGCGGATGGCGTGGGACAGTGGTAGGCTGGTTTGGAGCTGGCTTTGGAACCCTCTGGGAGTTCAAGGTGGGTGGCGCGTGCTGGTTGCCTGCACTGCCCAACAAGTGGGAACGCCGCCGCAGCGATCCGAGCGCGGGTGCCGTGTTGTGGCAGAGCTGGCGATTTCTCTTCGCTCCACTGGAAGCCTGGAACGGCAATTCCCGACTCTCCCCGCCTCCCAGAACGAGACCAGTAGCCCCAACAAAAGACCACACTTGTGCCTCAACCCCCGGCAAAGCCGGGCACAGTGAACCTGGGTGGTACCTGGCCCTTGGCCCCCAGAGCCCCCTTCTTTGTAGTGCGTGGGGATCAGGGGTTTATTTCTGACTCTATTTGCTGGCAGGCCGGTGTTGGCAGCAACCTCTGCTAATATGTCGAGTGCCATTCTGCTTTTTGAAGACAAGTGCACCCTTTCTTTCCCTTCCGAATACACCCCGACTTTCGGGCTGGAAAAATCAGTTTATGAACGCAGTTCCAGATACCGCGCGGTGATTGCTAGAGGCCTGAGCAGCGGGAAGAACGGAATTACATCCACTAAATTAAATGTTTTCTAGCTTTGACTACGGAGGAAACACCCCCCGCCAACAGACAAAAAAGAGGGAGTCTGGTGGATAGCTGTGGGCTCACCGTGATTCTCGGAAGGGCCGAGTCTGCCACCTAGCGGTGGATTGTGACCGAGTTCCTCGCTTTGGGCTGTGGGCCGACCTCATCACCTGCGGGTCCCCGAGTATCCTGACTGGTCGTTAAGGAAGCAAGAAGTCAGATGCTAGGACTGCAGAAGGAGGACATCCTCCCACGGGGATGCCATCCTACCTCCAAAGTTTTGGCAAAACAGCTGCGAATCAGAAAAGCCTCGGATGCTCGCCCCCTTCGCAATCCCCTAGGGGCGTGTATCTGTCTCCACTAAGAGAACCATAAAACAACCTGCTTTGAATATTGTATCTCCCTGTCGCTGTGGCCCCGCTACGGCGGAGGTCTGTAGTGGAAGGATGCCATCTAGGAGTTCAGAGGCTCCAGGGCTTCCAACACATTTCACAGTTGAGGAAACAGGCCTGACGAATGGGCCTGGAATGGAGAATTAGCGGCATACCAACCGGACCGACTCTTACAAACTCCTGAATTCCAGGTCAGCAATTTAAAGTCAAAGGAGAGTTTATCTCAGCTCCTTTGAAGTATCTAAGAGAAAGGTGAAGCAGATAGAGCCATATTTTGACCTCTTAGGTCACCTTAGGGGCTGAATTGCCAGGGCACGTTGGATAGGTTCCTGGCAGTCTTGGAGGTATTTGTTTATAAATATGGCCTAAGTTTTTGGTAACCGACTTTAAAAACCTACTGTAGTGCTGGGGGTGAGGGGGGGAGCATCTCAGAGCTCTAGGGTGTGCGTTCACGTTGGGAGATGGCTATAGGCCTAGTCCCTAAACCTGCACCGGCGCGCCTCTTTGCAACCTAGGCTCACACTTGAACCCCAAAATCATTCTTCTCCCTCCTTCCATCCTTTGCTTAGTGGCCTGCCTACTGGAAATGGCTAAAGGCCTGGCGAGAAACCACGTGTGTGTGTGTGTATTGTATGGATAGGCAGATTGTAATCCTGGTAGAATTTGTGCCACACTAGCTTCTTAGCGAAGTTTTCTTTCTCCGAGCGCGTGACTTAAGATGGCAAACGCGCGTCTCGCGAGCTGGCGGCCCCTAGCGGCGGACGGCGCGCTCCAACCGCGGGCGACGCAGCAGTCTCCACCACCCAGGTCCGTGGGGATCGAGTTCAGCCTCTCCCACTGCGGGAGCGGTCGGAGGCCGCGTCGGAGAAACGCGCCTCTGTTCTGGTTGGAAACGAATCTGGGGACGTGTTTGAAGCGCGGTCGAGTTTGACTCATCGCTTTCCAAGGACAGTTAGTGCTTTCCATCTTCATCAACGTGAATAAAGACCTTGGCTGACTTCTGTCCAGATTGAATTTTTAAAGGCATTGTTAGCTTGGGAGATCATGCCTCTCTCCTCCCCCGCCAGCCTTTTTGTGAAGGCCGAACCCAGTCCAGTCAGGCTAACGCAGAGATCTCTGCCTGCAGACGTGGTTTGCTGGCATTGTCTGCGGCCCTTCTGGAAGGCTGTCGCGAGCCTGGCGCATGGGGAGCGTCCCTTCTGCAGATCATCTTCAGATCTTGATGATAAAACACATCCCTCTATTTTATGCATTTCCTAGAAGCTTGCAAGCTTACAACAGCGCTGTTGGCAGGAAACGTGATAGAAACGAAAGTCAGGACATAAAGTCCCCGAACACCTCGGTCACCCAAAGCGGCTGCTGTGGCCACCGCGTTATCAAATTCGCTTTCATCTACTGTCGTCTCCCCACCCTCTCGCCCCCAGTCAACAGCGCGAAGAGTGTTTTCCCCCGCCCCAGAACAAAAACAACCCGGCAGTTTGCCGCCACCCCCCACCCCCATCCTGGGACCCAGGCCGCGAGAGCTGAGCAGCTCGTTAGCTGAGATGAAGCGGGAGCACGAGAGTGCTCGGGAAGGGGCCTTGTGAGGGTTTCACTGCGGCAGCTCCAGCCTTATTAAAATTCCTCCTCCCGGCCCCTAAGTAGTGCTTTGCACTTTCAAATTCTCCCTTGGATATTTCAGCGAGTTATTGGAGTTATTAGATAACCAATAATCCTACGGCCGGCCGGGACGGGGAGG